TAGAGATGTCGGCTTCTGTTACATCACAAATCACGGCTTTAAGCAGTCCCTGGTTTGTTAACTGTTTATATCATTCAGTTTTGTTTATGAAGCGTTTCCTGGAGGTTATCGAATGTTTAACGCTTAATGTTGATAAAAACATCGAAAAGAAAGATTAAATGAACGTGATTCGCCACAACTGTTAATAACAAAACCTTATTATGACTACAACTTAGTGTGTAAAGATAAATGCTCAGTGACACGCATCCGATTTCTTACTGTGTTATTAGCTAAATACATGTAACATGTGACACGCATCCGATTTCTTACTGTGTTATAAGCTAGCTAGCATTAGATGTGGTGAACACTCAGATTACGGCTCTCTAACACTGCTGTTTCGGGTAGACTGATCAAAATTTACATCAAACCTGTTTTGTTAGAAAAGAGTTGATTGATTACTTTACAAATAGAAAACACTAAAATCAAATGGACATGGTGTGCTTTTACTGGCTACAAATCGTTTGTAACTTCGTATACGTCAAGATGTTCATATCGCAATTTAAACAAAAAACAATACGATAGCACATTCAGAAACAACAATATAGGAAGCTACCGTTTTTAATTGTAACAACTAGTAAGGTGACAAATGACCGAGAAGTCCTTATATCTGACCGAGAAGTCCTTATATCTGACCGAGAAGGCCTTATATAAATATTTTGCTGAATTAAGCGTTTTGAGTATCCCATAGGAAAAAAGATACATCTAACAGACGTCCGCATGGAAGATTCGAAATCAAAGAAATTAACATCATAAACAATTAAATTTCCTATTACATTGTTATTTGTAACATCGGTTTTCCGACAATCACAATAAGTATACTCACAACTGACTCAACAGATAAAACTGCTAAGGGTTGTTAAGCATTTTGGACACGCATTAGTGGGTTACAACCTGGACGTGGTTTCATTGGTCAATCTTTCAATGATGATGTCGCATAGCAATGCTTTCTGTTTGCATTGTTTAATGTGATGTATGTCTATCTGTCTGTCTGTCTGTCTGTCTGTCTGTCTGTGATCGTAAAAAAATGAATTTTCAAGAGAAACTGTAATTGGTGATTTTTCAAAGTGTCAAAAAACACTCGGTTAACCTGGTATCTTTTAAAAACATGAAAAATACAAACAACCACGGATTGGATAACATGATAACCAACCGGCACTCGTTCGGGATCCTAAGTATCAGCAATTGGAAATATCAATTGTTCCTTTTGGTTTGTTGTTTACAGGTGTGTAACCGGCACGGCGAATACATCCTAGCCTCTCCCATCCATAGAACATTATTGATCAATATTGCGGAACTGATGCAGAGATAAACTTCTGACCAGTTAATCGCATAAAGGAATCTTTCTGAATGTTCGTGTAATCATGTTTCTTTGAGCGATTAGATTTCTAAATAAGAATCAAAGGTTTACATATAAATTACCCAAACAATGTAGAGTATTTTTTCATTTACAAATATGTTGTAGGGGTAACTTAAATCGCTATTTTAGTTATATGAATCAGTTTAAGAAATTTTACTTCCTTAATTTAAATAAATACTGCAAACATTGACACATATCGGATAACACACTTGGATGATATTGTATGAAATTGTTCTGTAAATGGTCAAAACCCACAAAATCACCTTAAATCTCATATTATGCTAAATTAGTGTCTTCGACCGATCATAACACATAAAACTAACATACGAACATATGATTCTTTTTCCTTTCCTAATATACATTAACTCCCTTTTCCAAAAATAGATGATTGATAAAAAAAAAAAAGTAACACCGGAAATTTTCAGAGGAGTACACCCTTAAGCATAATTGTTCAGTCAGTTTTTGTTAGGTACACTGAGTATTTGTCTATATGAAATTATAAAGTAACTTACCGTCGGATATATTTTCTGATCTTAAGTTGAATTCTGCCCTGACATTTAAGCTGCCGAAGATGTTTGCAAACCATTTCTACTTTTTAATCAGATTCCACGATAGAAGGAGATACCACAGTATTGTTCCAATCAGAAGTCTTAAAGAGTTTCAGAGCCGAATTCTACTGTCATAGAATATCCAACATACGTCAGAAATAATGCTGCAAAGATGACTTTGGTCGTCTTGGTTACCGGGTGCTGTGTACGTTGCTATGCATTCGGAAAACTTCTGCCTTTCTGTTGTTTTCGTTTCCGATACCGGACCGTTTCGCCATCGTTGAGTGTTACGGTTATAACTGTTTCTTTTTCGAGGTCTTCCGAATATGTTATTTCGGTAGTGTCCGGTATCTGGGAGTAAATCTTTTGACCTGCCATCTCCGGTGTCGCAAAGTCTCCAGGTGCTACTAGAATAGTTTTCTATTGTAAAGTCAACAGAAGTATGTAAATATTTGTGTCGGCTTGAACATGAGGAAATGTAATGTTTATAGAAAGAAAATGCCTTTGGACTGTAATGTCTCTCATGCTTTTAGATATAAACAAAGGCGCCAACTGCAGGTTCCTCAATGTTCTAATCGAAATAGGAAGACAACTACTTTATTGAATGAAGTAAAAGCTGAGTAAATTCAAGTTCGCTTTTATTACTGTTGCTTTCCTCTTTTTCCTGTTTTTGCCCTACCTTCAGGTCAACCATTACGCATTTTATCACTGTTTGGCAACGATGATAACTGCTATCCAGAGTTGCAATAGTAGTTCACAATATAGACTGAGGTACAAAAGGACTACATTCATATACTTATGATGTTTTCTGATGAGAATAATAGATTCATTATACTGCCATGCTTTGTATTTAAGGTAGAAAGCATCACAAGTATTGGTATAACAATGAAGAAACAACATATCCAATGTAGTGATCTTTTAATATTATATTACACCTACAAAATACGTTTTGATGCGTGAGTTTTAATGCAATGTAATATTAAACTGCAATATATTTGAAAAAGCTAGCGTTTTTTGTTTTATCTCTAAACAATTATGTGGGCAATGTTATGAAAGTGATCTTGCATTGCGAATTTGAAAAGAAATAAAAAATATCAAATATCTAACGCTATAGTAAAATTTGATATTATATCAATACAATTTCAAATTGGCATATTTAAAGACGATGTAAACAAACGCACATATCCCAATTTAGTATTAAAACAATTTTGGTATTTATCAAAATCTTACCGTTGCGGATTCCTGGTTGTTGACTCTAAAGCAGACATGGTGTTTTCCCTTCTCTACGCAGCATACGAACACATCAATGTGATACGGCTACAAATGTGTTATCACGAAGTGGAGAGTGGTCATTACATGAATATCAAACTATAAACTTAGCCTATGTCTTTATGCAAAGATATGATCACATAGTGTATGTCGGTTTACCTATATTGGCTACGTTTTGTATACTGTGTTTTTTATTCATATATAATATACACTGTTATGTGTTGTCGTTATTTGATAAATGATTGATTGAATATGATTTATATACGTTCAGTACATTTCATAGGTCAAGGGTCTAGGGTCATTTATGATATTTTTTTTTATGTTTACCTAACATAATTATTGATAATTTTGTTAAATCTATTGTAATTATTTTCCTGACACAAGGAAGGCAACCTCCCTAGCATTGTCTAGCGTATATGTAGATAATGTCAAACTCTTGCATAACAGTAACCATACCAGAATGTATGAAGCATTATTAGGCACGTAAAACCTTAAGCGTGACCTTTGGCCCATTCAACTTTGACCGAACCAGGAGTAGAATTCCATGTAACAGTGCATCATACATAATGGTTCGTTAAATATCGTGTACACATTTTTTCTCATTTCAAAATTACGTGACTGTACATAAATGACCCATGACCGATGACTTACAAAGTCTAAGATGAAGAACTTGATATCACCATACAATGTTGTAAATATATACTAATTATATTACGGGGATTCTAGATATATCTTGTACGCAAGCATTATACTTCGGACTGACGGACGCACGGACTCAGATACAAAGAAAGGAACTATGTAACCCTTTTGACTCAATAGAAGTTTTCTGAAACCGCTTTGAAGTTTTATTAAACATCTATAACTGGATTAAATATATTACTACTACTCAGTTAAGCACTAATTTGCTAATAAGATTATGACGGTTCCACACATTAACGTGAAATTGTTGTTTTTCCTTTTTTCTGTATTAAAACTTACGAAATATTGACGGTTTTCCATTTTCTTATTTAAAGCAAAATACTGAAACTCCCTTTAAAAAAAACAGCAAAAAATAACAACAAGAGAGATTTATCGACATACACAATCTACATATATCAATATAATTTCTTTTGAACCCGTATTAATGAAATTTTTCTTATGCTCAAGCATGGATTCTGTGCTCAAACCACCTTTCTTGCAACTCGCTTAAATCACGTGACACGTTAAAAAATAAAGTGTGAACATTTTTAAACTGTAATCAGATTGAGGTGTCTTCAAACTTCTTACAAATCATACGGTTTTTAATTTATTCATCAACAGAACAAGAAATTTGTCTTGAGCACACAATGTGAGTTTGAGCATGAGAACGGACTCATGAATAAGAGCCCTGGAACTATATCTAAACTTTAAGCGATATGGGCCTCTTCATAAAAATGCACGTTTGAACTGAGGAAGACAGGTTTACAACTTACGAGTTTGTTAACCACTACACCTTTCTTTAATATTGTTAAACTGAAACTGTAAAATTGATATTCAGATATGAAAAAAATCACTTAAGAATAGTAAATAGCTATTTATAGAAACACACACGACAATGATTAAACAGAAAAGAAAAAAGAGACTCTCTACAAATGTGTTGACATAGAGACTGCTTTTACATAGACATAAAGGAGTCAATAGTACATATTTATCTAAACTCAATCTCAATGACACCAATTATAAAATTAATTGAACCGAATTGTAGGTTTTTTCACTCTGCTGAAATTTAATTAACACCAAACTACCATCAAAAAGACAAAACAAAGTAGTGTTTCAGGTGACCGGAACTTTTTTACAAAGGTAAAAAAAGTCTTTTATTCGCTTTTTTTAGTACACATACATAAATGCACATTGTTTTCATATTTGGAGTAGAAACAAGCCACAATCGAGTGATAATCTTGATTGTTTTTTCGTTGGTGATTAAAACTGATTATAAAGATTTAATAAAAGACATACACATTTTAATATTTACATCTTGGATGATGTCCCTTTTTGCGATGAATGCAGCCAAAGCTATATGTATCCTGAACATTTCGTGAAACACATTTTTTTTTTATTAAATGTCATATTCGTTGTTGCTGTTGACGTTTTCTCCAGTTGTTTAAGATTTTTGTTCAAACTTACGGATCTGCGGTCAAAGTGAAAACCAAAAGCATTAAGGGAACGTATCTATCACGATTAACCGTGTCAATTTCGAAAATCTATTTCATTATATAAACAAAAACGATTCCATCTTTTTCTTTGTGATATTCAGAAACAATCTCCTAACGGACTTTTTCCCATTTCCCCTCCTTTTCGATCTCGTCCATTAAGGGTTCCAAATGTCCTTTGTACTCCTGTATCGTATTCAGCTGTGTTGGACGAGTAGCCATCACAAAATAGCCCCCTACAACATATAAACGCATGATCCGTATTATAAGTATTAGAGTAAAAGTTGTCCTAATATCTATCTACAGAAAACATCATTCATAGCCAAACTCTAGAACATTGGTCAGTGGTATTTGTATGCCTTACAACATCCGCGATATCCAGGGGTTACGCTAACTTTCGCTCTCTACACCCCTGGAATATGTAATAGCAATATTGAAGGCTCAGTCTGCAGCACCTTGAAGATAAGACGAGAAGTCTAGTTTGATCCTTTGATGTACATCAAAAGAATCTCGCGGCCGTGTAACGGTAAACATTGACAGGCTTTGAAGTCGGGCGTCTCTCCATTGTTACCTTCAAAGAACAGGTATTAGCCTAGCGTTTTTTGGTTTTTTTTACCTGAGACAAATCAAACAGCTATCTTATTGCCTTCAATTTTGCTATGACATATTCCAGGGGTGCAGAGAGCGAAAGTGAGCATAACCCCTGGATATCGAGGATGGCCTTACAATAAAATGTATATCAGATTTGAGAGAAGAAAAGATATTTTTATATATCCCTTACGATTCAATGCAAAAATATTTCTCCGCGCTTCACATGTGCATTCTTGTTCTTATAACTCCTGCATGATGTTGACAAAGAAATCTCAGTCAAAGAGTTTATTACTATTCTTGGCCTTTCGCAACTAATTTTTACAATAGAAAAGTTTGGAAAAAAGTAATCGATCATTTCTGTGTGTTGCAGGGAGAGAAATATCAATCTTCGGGATCAGATTTTGTTTAAGTTAAACATTCGACAATGCCCCTTAATTACTTAACCCCATAGAGCTAACCCTTGGGTAGAGCTTTCCCTGAATTCATCACAAATGTATGGTAAATTCTTTCAACCTTAAATGGTTTAAGCAGAAAGTAAACAAGAACCCATGCTTCTGTTGGAGACACAATTCTTATACAATAGCCTCAGGCTAATTATTCTCTAAACAAAGTCAAGATAGTTTAGCTAATCACTAACTTTAATTGCATCTCGTATAAGAAGCATAAATGCACTTAAGCGCAATATTATGATGCACATGGTTACCGTTTCAAAATTATAACAACAGTTATTAACTAAAGTTCAAAACTTTCCACGTAAAATATAATATTATCTTTTCAGGTAATACGAGTTTTCTCCCCTACGCCGGTAATCGCTCGTTATTTATATTTAGTTTAACAGAAAGTTTCAACACATGTTGAGCGGTTCGGAAGGGACGGCTACATCGGAGCTTGGTGCAAATACGCTAAATAGTCTGTCGGCGAAGACTGAAAAGTAAAAAAGTGCTGTTGAGTGGTTTAAGTATTACTAAATTCTGATAAGAGGACATTGAAGGGATCAAAATATATCGGCTGCACCCATTGCAACAGTTTTTTCGAGTCTGTCCTGCACACCTGGTGACCATATGGAATGCTATGCTATTGTGTCTAGTTTATGGCACATCAGCTAGGTGGCATATTAAAAGTGCATCTTAACTGGCCTTAGACACTTGGTAGTTTGGATCTGGTCTGTAAGGGTTTTCGGATTGAGCCCAGACCACTATATTGGCACCGCTTTAAGATTATTTTAGAGTGCATCAATGCAATATAATATTCTAGACACAGCAGCAGGACGTTTAGATTCATCAGCACGACACCAAACCGGTCGTATCATTCCAACTGGCTACTACGACATGTTTAGGGTCAAAAGAAGAATGAAAACACCAGAGTCTGCGAGGGACTCCTATTAGTTGCGTTTTTATGCTAATAGCCTGCTTAGTCTTCAATAAATGAATAATAGTTAAGAACGTCTTAAAGAAATATCTTTATAACTCCACTTTACCTGGTTTAACCAGACGTACGGCTTCCCACAAGCAGTCACATGGCAGATGCCTATTGCTACAAGCTCCACATATAACGATGACGTCATAGGTATCTATTGGAAATTACAATATGAGATTTATTTTACACATAAACAGTGCGTGTATAAACGTTTTGCAATGTTCTAATACCAACTGGTCTCTTACTTTAATTTTCATTTTAAATTATTTAAATTTATTGTACAGCTGTATGATTTTGATTTGGAATCAGAATAAATGGCGACACATCTATGTGAAAATACTGTATACAGGAAAACTTAGTATAAAACAAAATTAATGCAAGATTTGTATCACATCATGTAGAACTAAAATATTATTTGAGTTGTGATACTCGCGGAAATTTCTATTTTTTTCGGAGAATTATGAACATCGCGAAAAAACCTTTATAGTTGTGTACATCGTGTCATTTGCCACCTCGCTGACCGCCAATTTATTTCGAAATCCTCATTTCAGTTTTTCCGGAACAATTCTTAAATCATCTCCCTCGATGTATCGCGAAATTTGCTGGACAAATGTTTGTAGTATAACAAGTTTATATTTTATACAGAGTTCAGCTGATCATGATAGTTAATATATTAGGCTTGAAGTGATTAATAACAAAATAGGATATTTAAATAGTTGTCTTGAAAAAATTACAAACCTGGTTCAATATTAAGTTCTTTTTCATCAAAATAAGAACATATCATCTTTTGGTAGACACCTTTTGTCTTCGCTTCATCCAACATTCCTTGAGACGGATCCAATGCATCGACTTTGACAAATCCTTGCTTGGCTAGCTTAAAAGCAAAGACAATTAAAGATGGTTTGATTAGGGATCATAGTATACAGTTTAAGTATGGGGTTGAGGGCTATAGCAAGTTTTTGGTGTCCCGAGCGCCGAGGGAAATAGGCATGGTCAAGGGACACCAGAAACTTGATATATCCCTCAACCCCATACTTTAACCGTTTTATTATACCGATACACACAAGAGAGATAATTTCAACTAGAAAATATTTGTAAACAATAAGCTGTATTGCTTCACGTCCCAACTACTCTTTTGATGGCAATAGAGCCAAATGCTTCCGAGTTTGGTAGCAAGCTCCGCCCACCTCGCGCGTCGTTTCCGAGTTCGGTAACATGCTCCGCTCACCTCTCGCCTGATTGGCTTGGCGGAAACCCGAGTGTATGTGTATTTTAGTTCCAAGACTAAAACACAGGACTAGAACACAGACAGGCAAAAGTGGGGATGTATTCGATTTAACCAATCACTTTTATATAGAGTAAATAAAGTAGAGGTATATTAATGAATGTTATTATTACTGCATTTTAACGGTCCATCAACACTAAAGAGGGCATTAGAGCCAATCAAAAGGTAGATAAAACATACTAAAGGAAATTACATCAAACAAATGAAAAGGGAAAAGATAAACGTTAACTTAAAAGTAAAAGTGGCTATGATTAGTTATTTCTTTTTAAACAGACCAACATATTTAGGTAGGTAAGATATTGACTGTTTCGAAAAGAAATTTGAGATCTGTTAAATTATTACATAAAAATTATCTTGTTGCTGCAATCAGATAACAAGTGTTTTACTGTAAATGGTTTTTGACATGCCATGCATTGAGGCTGGTCTTCGCTTTTCAATAAATAATGATAGTTAATGTATGGACATATTGAACCTAACGGTATATCAACATATAAGAAATCCACCAGCAGAATCTACCACCCTGTATCTTTAAAAATGAAAGCAAAATACACACGTGATTGTACACATACAATTTTGTAATAGATACAATATGCCCAAAAAAATTACTACACTGCATCGTAGAGCTATCAAACTATTACTTTCAACAGATAAAATATCCGACTTAACCGCAAATACTGCCCAAATATAGACATAATTACAGCAACTTGTTTTGGTTTCCAAAATTATAAATATCTTTACCTGCATGAAGACAGAACAAATACAATACCTCTACACCAACTAAACCCGTTCCTGCAGCAACATCTAGTATGCAGACATTCTCTCGTGTTCCGGGGTATAATTCAGCAAGTACATCGGCAACAATCGCTGGACCACGATATTCAACAGTGTGCATGTCCTTTCCATGAAAATAGTGAAATCCGACATAAAAGCATGCATATCTTTTCTTTATAAATAGATCTTAATTGAAAGTATTATGCTAATTGTAAATCCTCCGTCCATTTCAAACCACCGAAAGTTCCTTTCTCACATCACATAACATGTTAAAAAATATACAGATAAAAATATACATTGCTGATAAAAGGCTTTAGTAAAATTACGTTTTCCATATTATTATAAATTTAATAATTTGATAATTTACACAATAAAAGTAAGTTTAACTAGTTATATACCTAAGTATATGTTGCCGTTTATACTTAAAACATGAGGGTAAGCGACTTTGAAAGTAATCATTTTAAATACTTAGATTGCATAAGATGAAAATGTCTGATGGCTTTCAAGACTATCAGAATTTTTATTATATAAAGCCACTTCACTGATCAAACACTGGACTGACTACATTGATATTTATATATAAATATAATCTTCAAAGGAGAGGTTTTATCCTAGGAACTGGTCATTTTTTATACCAGACACCAATCAAATAGCTAGCTTCGTGCTTACGAATTTGTCATGACATATAACAGGAGTGCAGGGAACTTAGGAGAGCATAGCCTCTGGAATGTCAAGGATGTGGTATACTGGCGTCATAACGTTGCAAAATAATTACGGTCTTAAAAACAGCCCAGTGTTTCCAATCCAAACTGCCAAACTGCGAAATCGCAGAAAATACATCGAAAATAAGACAACATTAAAAGTTTGCCGGCCTCTAAATGATGAGTGGGGAAAAAAAGAAAAAAACAACCAAAAAAAAGCATAAATAAGGACGTTATAATACGTTTAACTGATAGAGAGAAATAAACACTAAAAATATTATAGTGAGTCGTACCTCTTCATACTGTTTGCTCCACGAGTCGTAGAATTGTGTCTTTTCCTCACGGGTCTTGGTTTGTGTATGGCCTTCAAAACACCTCTCTGCGGGATCCATATTCTTTTTTTTTTTTTTTGCAGATGCGTGAAAACACTTGAAGAAACAAAAATGGAAAAAAATATTTTAAAAAAAAACACTTTAGAAAGCTCCCTGATCCAAGCCACGTATAGGATACGATTTTTATTTTCTAAATTCCCTCGAAACACGCACAGCTAGTTCATAGAAACCTTAATCATTTTCGGGATATATCATTGATAATTGTAATAATCCCAAAAAACACTGTACATTATCGATAGAGAGAAAAAAGGATGTTGTGGTTATGTTGAATTGGCGTTGTTGTTCTTTTACATTTAAGAGAAAAATGACCTACTGTTTTACATGGAATCTTATCATTTTCTCCTTGATCATTATCCTTAACCCGGTGTCTATATTTGAATTTAAAGTTTAATACTTAAACAGACATTATAATTATTCCTCATTAATATTATATTTTCTATAAGTTTGTTTAGACTCGCCAGAAAACCAACATAAGAGGGAACAATATTGAAAAAAAAATAAAAATCACCTGCTTCAGAATTTTGTTGATATCTCAAGGAAGAAAACACTACTGGTAAGTTTCAACTATAAGTTACTTCCAGCAGTTAATGCAAAATTTCACATTTTATATTAAAAATAACAACGATTGGACTTTCTTAAAACTCACATTGTAGACAAATACGCCTAATTCTAATATCTAACTCCGGCCTCATTAGAGTACAGCTTATGTCTTGAATTAACTCATAAAAGCTTTCTTCGACGGTTTTCATCATACAGCGATTTACAATGAAAAACACAGAAATAAATTAAGGAAGCTTCTTGAGAAATACAAAAAGTGCTTGTGACCAACAATGAAACATTCACAATTGTTGTGATGTGTTATATTTGTATAAATGTAGAGTAACGTAAACATTACAGATAGATATTTGAACCTAAACTACATTAAATTACACAGCGTGACTTTGTTTAATATTGCATGTAACAAAATTCTGAACAATTCAGACATTGTTTGCTCCAAGGCTGGTTAGAGTTAAGCAGTGGTTTGTGAAAAATAAAATACAAATATAACAAAACTAAGAGCATCTAACATCGTTTCTCTACTTTAGATTGGTTGAAACAAATAAGATTGATGTGTTTTGATTGATTTATTTTGCATTGAAAGACCGTTCTTCTTATTGGCAAAAATTGCGATTGTTCACTAACAACTGACTTAAGTTAACCAACCATTTGGCAACCGGGGCCATTTAGCTTGTCTGAAGTACATGTTTGTTAGTAATATGGGGGTGTTCCCACGCAATTTTCAGGAAACAAATAAAACTTACGAGTTATACAGAACATGTCACATGACATATATATGACAATAGCCGTAGTTTTTATGAAAATTGACAATCATTCATTAATTTGACAATTTAACCAAAACAAAAAATGATACAACATAGATCATGTTTTTTTTCTATAATATAATTACTACATGCAAGTTTTAATCAAAAGTCTATTGCTATTCATTAAGACGTTAAGCATATCAAATTATTATGGAGGGATCCATCGTTGTTAACCAGCTATTTTAAACAGGTTATTATTTTGCAAGTATTTTTCTTATTATATTGCTATCGTTGCATGACAGAATACTTCACTGTGGTTTTTAAGCTTTGCCAATATTAAGATTAATAACAAATACATATTGTAATTTAACGTTTCACTTATATTTGTTTTATAAACAATTTTGAATATTGGGTTCACTTCTTTGTGCAAAAACGTTGTAAAATGTTGCTTGTAAAATTTGGTCATATTGCCCCAAAATCGAGGCATTTGGATTTCGTAATTGTAGGCTTAAATATGTCCTGGTATGTTGGACCAATAGTCAGTGGACATCATATAGTGACCTTTGCTGTTGCAAAACTTTAAAAACCTAATAAATCCATCAAAATATTTAGCATAGTTTTGATTCATAAGCTTATATAGCAATCCGTATTCACGCTAGTGTGTTCATTCCACAACTTTGCGTGACCGTAAGATGTGACAGCGGCGTTATGCCCCGGTCACACATTCACGTTCAAGTTGTGGAATGAACACACTAGCGTGAATACGGATGCTTACCATGGCAGGTCCGTAGTGCAAACCCATACTAAAATCGGAGCGAACCGTTGTTAATCAACAAGAACAGTTCTTTCGGTTAAATATTGATGTATTTCAAACCATATTATCAATTCAGGAAGTGTTTGTTCATAAGTAGATATCAGTAAAGATAATATAGATGAGAAAATAGGTGTCTGAAATTGATGAAATTGATACCCAAATAAAAAGCTTCGCATAGGAGGTAAATTAAGAAATTAATGTTTTCGTAGTTACAATGTATTTCAAATTTTAAACTGTCCATGTAACCATCAGCGGCAGCTAATAAAGCTGATAAAAATATCGGTTGATATAAAAGTATCATAATATGAAAAGTGTATAAATATAAAGACATGCCAATTTCTTTGGCCGCTTTTGCAAATGTGTCCCGTTTTGGGAAACGAGTTTTAATGATTTGTAGGTGAACATTTGTAGTCTGAAACGTAAAAGTACTGTAAAATATTGATATCGACATGACATGAAACGATTTTGAAAATAGAAATAATTCTACATATTTACAAAAATTCTATATAAGTACAAAATATGCCAATGTATATGATAATAATTATATAAATCATGCATCTTACCTTCTAATATTATCGCATTGGCTACACTGTCTGTGACTCTGTATAACGTACAAGCAGTACCCTGTGTATGTATTACTGGAATGTGTGTATGTAGGCTGAAGACTCTCATTATACTCACTTGTAAAATCCTACATAAATAATGCAGTCAACCGGTGAAAAGAACTCATCTAAAAACTAGGACGGTTCAGGTCTACTGATTACATTTAAGGCAGTCCCTGTCTCTAAAATGTTTAATATTAAAGCGAACATGATACTTTTGTTATATTTGTGAACTCTTGGTGAACTCTTGGTGAACTCTTGGTTGCCTAAAGGTTGTTTCAAACTAAGGGGAGATAAGCTAGTGGAAGGCTTCAGCAGGGCAGTTCTTTACAAAAATATGAGGGCTTGTAGCCTATTACTGAGCAAAATTTGAGAAATAAGCAAACCAGCAATAAAAGCCATGACCATGTAAAAAGAAGTGTGTACCACCTCCTCACCCCTTCCAGAAAAAAACGGTTGCCCAATGAACACCATCGAATTCTTCCATGTCCCCCTTAGCAGAAGACAAAAGAAAAACTCCGATAATGAATTGTTACTATATGAGCCGCCTCTTATAGAATCCTTTAACATTTAATATTTCAAGTTCTACTCAGGTTAGACTTAATGACTTAATGACGTTTATCTATCCTGTTTCATTTGCCCATGGGATTGATCAGACTAACATTGCCTGTGCGTATGAATGCAGGTTTTCAGAGTTTTGTCTCAAGGACAACTCAATTCATCACCCCATAAAACCTACAGAACAAAGAATCAATCCTTCAATAAGTACGAGAACGGTCTATGACTGTTATGAACACCCATTTTCAATTACAAAACATGAATTCACATAACCTTAGAGTCCTATCTACTACAAAAAGAGCACTGTATAAGACTAGGAATGGTGTCAAACGAGTACTAAAAGGATGCAATAAACAGTAAAGCATGCTGTGAACGGCATTATAATCACCTGGAAAATATGCTTAGTGGACCTTGTGGTTTTGTTATCTCAACTGGGGTTTTCTATAAGAGGACGTAACATTACTTAGATTTGACCTATATTTACATGGCGGGTGTCGTCGATGCAAGACGCTTATCAATTCTGGAACACATGGTCTTATTCTCCTCGTGATTTGTGAATGGTCCTCGTGTAAGTCTTTCCTTTGTTCCTATTTTACTGTAGTTTTATCGATTTCGAGTTCGAATTGCGGTTTTATTGACACATCGGTTTATTCTCTTGATGTTTTGTTAAATAAAACCTTGTAGCGATTGTTTCCTCTCTAGTGCATTTAGGTAATTCAGCATGATCTCGAAGCCATAAAGTAAGCCCAACCTTTAAGGGGTTTTTTTTATCTATTTTCAATTGGTCTTATCGACCAGAGTTTGAAAATAAATGCCAAGCGTGAATATGAGCAAAGTAAAACTGACAAACAATCTGTAAAAAAAAAAATGGTCGAGTGGCGCAGTGGATACGCACTCGTCTTTCACCAAGGCGGCCGGGATTCGATTCCCCGATCGGACGTGAACAGGTATTGGGTCACCAGCCCGACCACGTGGGTTACTCTGGTTTCCTCCCAGAGTAAGACCCCCCCCCCCTGCGCTAACATCAAGTGTGATTAATATAAGTTGAAATAACAATTAAACATAATTGTTGTAAAGTAAATAAAGATTATATTTGTATAGCAACAAAAGGCGCTACAATAATTATGACCACCTACTGTGCATCCAATATACGTTTTTCATTGAATTAATCTTTGTTTTATAAGAGTTAATAATAGTCAACAAACTGATCTGTTCTGTGTAAGATAATATTTATTTACATGCATGCACACACAATTATGTCCGCCATTAGCAACCGAAAACAAATACTGTTGCTTACACTTAATTGAATTTCCAGTATGTGCTATGTCTGAACGGTATACAATCTTATTTCAGGACAGATATTTCCAGAGAAAACGCCATGAACTGCTTGGGGAAAGGGCCAATGTTTCCATGTTATGGTCAATATTGTATCCACTACTGCCACTAAATAAAGCTATGGATATACTATTGAGTAAAACAAACGACTCTTAAGCAAATATTATGCAGAATGGATTATTATATATTTTTATATCTTTTTTTTATCTTTCATGTATGTTTCATCTATGCTATGTTATTTCTTCACAGTATCTGTCTGTCTGTCTGCCGGTTGGTTGGTCGGTCTGTAGGTCTGTCAGTCGGTAAGTCTGTCGGTCGGTCTGTCCGTCTCCGATCGTAAAAAAATAGTATATCCAAGAGAATTTGTAATTAGGGAATTTTCAAAGTGTCAATTAACTATGATTGGTGAATTTTTAAAGTGTCAAAAAAACACTCGGTTAACTGGTGTCTTTAAAAAAAATGAAAAATACAAACAAACACGAATTAGATAACATGATAACCAACCGGCACTCGTTCGGGATCCTAAGTATCAGCAATTGGAAATATCAGTTGTTCTTTTTGGTTTGTTGTTTACAGGTGTGTAACCGGCGCGGCGACTTCATTCCAGCCTCTCCCATCCATGGAACAATATTGATCAATATTGCGGAACTGATGCAGAGATGGACTTCTGACCATTTAATCGTCACAGTAAGAAAGTGCATCATTTGCGAAGTATCAGAAGGCAGTGGTTAAATGAACACTGATCATTTTTAGACATATTTTACATAAACTATTTCAGTGTTCATTTTTGCAGTACGAAATCAAATCTCAATATCATAGCATGTATCAGTTTCATTTTAAAATGCAATCAATTAAGACAAATTATCGAGGAAGAGGCGAACAAAAGACGGAGCCGCCAATCTATTATGTTCTTTATCCAGCCAGACATTGATCTGATGATCCGGAGCCTTGATAATTCTAATAAATACGAACCAATTTCAGATTTGCAGTACTTACAGGAGAAACTGGCAGCCATTTATCGACAATGCGTCGTTTCTGTCTGAGTAGCAGAAAATATAGACACTGACATTAATCAATTAACAATTAACCGTTTCTATCACAGTGAATAGAAAAGGCTGATACCAATATATTGACAAAGCGTCGTTTCTGTCTGAGTAGCAGACAAAGTTGAGGCACTGGTACTAATATATTGACATTTTACCGAGTCTATCTTAGTGAATAAATTAGATGTATGCTATGATTGGTCGGATGATGGGCGGATTAGTCGAGTGGTTAACACTCCGGCCTTCCAAGCAGGTGGCCGGGGTTCGATCCCCGAAGTCGCCGTACGCATGGAATATTCAGAGAAAGTGTTTTCTCCTGACCACACAACTCCAACAACCCAGGTGGAGTATAAAATGGTCCGGGGTGGGTGTTGCGGTATCTGTGCTGTAGCATTTAAGTGGGGTGGAACTATAGATCATGCTAATTAATTAATGCTAAAATTTGACTGTATAAAGTTGTATATCTATGTACTGTAAAGCGCTTTAGAGTGGCTTATGTTAGCTAAACAGGCCGCTCTATCAAATGTTGTATATCTATCAAACGTTGTATATCTATCTATGATAGTTTCTACCTCAGTATTCATCAGTTTATTATTTTGATATCAACAGCATTTTATCGTGTTGGACGGGGTTCATTTCCTTGATCGGATGTGAAAATGTATTAGATTACATGCTCTGCAAATGAAACGGTAGGTGTGACCTCTCAAAATTTTCCGCTTCAAATTAATTGTTATGAGGTTGTTTGTTAAATGAAAATAAAACAAAGATCGGTTGCAGAAATTCGTTTGTATCTCGCCCATCCATTTTAAAATTGTAGCCAGCGGTTATTACATTTAACAGATTGGAACATAATATCAAGAAGCAACTAATAAATCTAACTGCAGTTCGTTTCGTTAGTTTATGTGGACGGATAAGATCAATCTGTAGAGTGAACCCGCTGGCGACAGATTTATAAATCTTGAAGTGAGGGAGCAAGAGGTACGGTTTCGTGTGAACAAAAGCGAAATTCCATGAAATAGAACAAACATAAGGTAAGACATGTGTGTCCTCATAATAAGTTTATTTTCAAATACTTTTCATTTTAGTTGAAGGTGTTTAAGCGTTAAATTATGTATACAGACCCCAAAACTCACTGAGAAAATCATTTGGACCTTCGGCACTATTTTGTTATGGAGCTTACTGAACGGGATGGATGAGTCATCCCCATATCATATTTTACCCATGAACATTCGTAGCTATACTTTGTTCCTTCCGACTTATCCCTAATTCTGAAAATATGCTAGTGACTTCGTACAATATGATACAATAAAAGACATAAGTCATTCGACTGGAAAATGAAACATTAGCCTGAAAATGATCTGGTGTGATCGTTGACTAAATGCAACAGCATTGCTTTTAGCATGATCTGTCATCATTCATCATCCAACTGACATGGGTTGCATCGCTCATCACCCATCACCCTGCCATCACTCATCAGCCATCTGACATGGATCGCAGCGACGTTGATGGGGATTTTGCACATAGGTTTGATCTTCATTTCATAACCATTTGAATAACGGTATGAATTGGGTTTTTTTTTTTTCAATAAAAATTAACTGAACAACTGTGTTATTTGTCAAATCCCTGTTACTTTTGCTTTATAAAATGCCCCAGCTATCGTTGTACTGACCACGTCAGTAGAAAAAGTACTCATTCAAATCGCTGGCACTAATAATTGATCAGTAACGAAACACCACCGATCGTTATATTTAGGGCAATAATCAAATTTTGTTGAGAATTTTTTTTAGAACAAATCAATCCAATAGACTGCTGTTAAACTTATTTGGATGAGGGAATCATCCAATCATTATTTTAAAATATAATTATTAATGGAATGGAAAAAACTGATTCAGGAATAATCCAAAATATCTTCACACACAAACATCCATTCTTGGAGGTAGAGTTAATAGACACTTCCTGATGAATAACAATCAATTTTCACAAATTAATACTGTGTATTTCCTGGAAGTGAGATCATTTAACTGCCACCCGTATTGGTTTAGGTATTAACTGAGATTGTTATTGATTTATCCTCCGATTTAGCATTTTTCTTTAC